AATAATTCGTGCAGCTTCCCTAAGTAAAGATGACTTAAGCTACTCATAAAATTACCGCCTGAAAACTACTCACAAAAATTTCAAGATGCCCATATTAGGACTTTCATAGCGCTAACCACCCCACACCCCTCGAGATTACTTTGTTTGAATTCATTCCCCCAAAATAACGTAAAAAGAAAACATACACGACACATGTTTTTTCCTAAGGCAGATGTTCTGATGCGTAATAGCATGAAATCGATAAAGGTGCAGTGTTCCCGCTAATGGAACATCCCGTTTTATTCAATGATTCTGCACATGCTTTTTGTATGAAAAATGTAAAAAAGAAAATACATAACAAATAATATAGAGCACAACCATCAAAATTAAACAAAATTTTTTTTTTAACAAATTTTTTTGCGTCACAAAAAATATAGAAAATAAGTGGATTGTAATAACACATCATAAATGAAAATTCTGAATCTCCTTGTGATATGCTGCCATCGGCTATTTAAAAAGAGAAGTTTGAAGTATATTATAAAGGCATTTTTATCCATTTACGATTGAATTTAATGGTTTTAGAAGAGATTCAATTTGGGTGTTCCATATAGTGGAACACTGAGCAACAAAGGCTTAAAAGGGAGAGTATATAATATATTTTCTTCCTTCTTTACGCATGTTATTGGAAGCATACTTGACTCGTATTCATGAGGTCCTTTGTTCAAATCCCAGCGAGGGCACTGCATATTTTCACACCTCCATCATCAAAAACTCTAATGATCCTACAAGCTTGGTGTTTCTATATATCTGAAATAAAGAAAAAGTTTTTTTTTTTCAGATGATTGTTATGCTGAAGTATTCCGTTGACTTTCTCAGTTCTGGGATTGATAAGTATTAAATGTATTAGATGTTGAGATCAAAAATGTAATCCTTATCCATTCATCTGCAAACAGTTCAAAATCTGTCATGCTCTGGAGATATCAGTTGTATGTAAATTTCTGAAGCAAGGAAATAGCACTTAGTCAGTAATCTGAATTAACATCTGAGATTTTCAATTCTTTTTATGAATCTGGATCATTTTTAAAGGTAATAAATGCAAGTTCAGTAAGTAACAACAGTCGAAGAAGCACAAGTGACCCTCATACCTCAAGGCTGCCACAGTTGTGATCTTGACGGGATAATACCGTGACCTTCGAAAGGGAGAAGGCCATGATACTTTATAAACATGGCAGAGCTTTCTGTCTGATGTTATCGTCAGAAAGTCATCTGGATTTTTAAATGTTCATTGGAAATATAACATTATCATGTTCCTTAGTTAATTAAAATAGCTGAAGGAAAGGAGGCTTTATATACATTATTTTCTTTAGCTTTTTAGGCTTTTTACAAATATTTTAATTAACTTTGTGCATAAATGTAATTGATAGAACCAAAGAACAAATGAACATTTTACAAAAATTTTAACGCTGATTGAAAATTGCCACTGTCATGATAAATTGAGAAGGGGTTCTTAAGATAATAATTAATATTTTACCTAGGCTCAAGTATTAATTTATTCGCGTTTCAGAGCAAAATATGTAACCATCAACTTCTATACCTCCAATGTATGTAAATGAAATACTATATAAATTAGCTAATAAATGTGATAAAAAATATTTCGTACAAGAAACATACCTAAATCTTATAACAAAAAAGCCTTCCAACATTCATATCTGAAACGAGATAACCTAACAAACAACATACACTATTTAAAATATTTAAAAATATTTTAAATATTTTAAAATAGTGTATGTTGGCTTATTTAGTGTATGTGGCAATATTTAAAAAACAAACTATGCAGTGTTTGAAAGTTACCAGAAAAAAGTAACAGAACTACTATTTCCAATTAATAAAAAAAATCCTTTTGTGTTTTTTAAATAGCAAGCTGTTGAAAAGTACAATAATTTGTAGCAATGCTGATGATTTTTAATGTCATTTCTTTCGATCATATGTAAATATATATATATTCACTTGTTTTAGACAATGGTAGATTCTCATGGCCAGTTTATTCATTTTTTCAAATCAGTAACATTCCTTTGGATACTTTCCCTTGGATACTGGGCAGAAAGATTTGAATAATATACACAATAGTAAGAACTGCACATTTAAATCGGTTTTTCATTAAATAGCACATACAGAATAGTGAGAACTGCACATTTAAATCTGCTCTTCATTAAATAGCGCACAACAAAAAGTTTTTTCCCATTTATCATGAATTTTATTGCTATCACAAGCATGTACAAAAATTAACAATGAAAGTGAAATGTTTTGAAATGTAATAATTAAAAAACATAACTTGCAACACTTATATTCATACCAAGAGATATACAGTCAAATACCGAAAATCCATTGACCTGAAATCTGCATTGCCTCTCAGAATATAAATATTCAGTTTATAGGTTCCGGAAACCGCAACATTGAGTACGAAATATCGAAGAAAAAAATACTTACCGAATAAATGACGTTATAATTACCGAATAATAATGAGTCAAAACGGGAGTACCAAATTATTGATATAAAATAGTTTTAAAAAATAAGATAAAATAAATAAGAAGTTTCTTCCCCTCTAATCTGCATCGAGGTAAAAAGCAGACGATTCACTCAACTCTTTGTTAAGTTCACAATTCACGTTGTATTTTCTGAGCTATGTTATTTCATTTCACGAGATTGTTTAGTGCTGCCTTTTTCTTATCGGGATATTTTGTAGATAAATTTAAAATATTTTTAATTTCAGCCCTTTTTAATACAATGACAGATAAGAAACGCACTTATAATTTTACTGCTTGCAACGTTGAGAAACATAAACACGTTGCATTGATGGTAATGCAAAAAGTGCAAATTCTTACAAAAGATGGAAGCTTTTCGATTTATAGCAGAATAGTATGGAATTGCGACACGATTGTGTGTGATATATGGAAAAATAAAGAAAAGCTGTTGAAATTTTACAGCAACAGTGATTCTAACAGCGGAATCCCAAACCGGAAATCTTTGCATGAGGCGAAATCGGCAAACCTCGATGCTGTGTACATATAATACAATGAATAATATAATCAATTTATGTATGCAATAATAATTTAATGCATATAATAAATTATTACAATAATGTATATAATAATTTAATCAAATGTATCTAATACACCTTATTCATTTTGCACTTTTAATCCGAATATTATGCTTTTATCTGTTCTGTCCTGAAATCCGCAAAATCCTAAAATCCGCACAACCTCTGGTCCCAAGCTTTGCAGATTTCTGGAATTCTACTGTATTACAAATTCCAAGAGAAAAATAACATAACTGCAATTTGCACTTAATGTAAAATTTAATGTTTTTTTTAAATATTATATGATTAAAAATGCAATATTTAGTAGTAATGCTGATGTTTCTTAACACCATTTCTTTCAATCATATGCAGGTGTATATACATATTTTTAGTTTCTAAATTTTAGGATAATGGGAATTATGATTATCATTTATATGCTTTTTATTATTTTTTTATTGCCAGTTGTGCATGTTGTTTGTTAGGTTATCTTATTTCAAATATGAATGTTGGAAGGCTTTTTTGTTATAAAATTTAGGTATTTTTCTTGTACAAAATATTTTTTATCACATTTATTAGCTAATTTATATAGTATTTCATTTACATACGTTGGGGGTATAGAAGTTGATGGTTATATATTATTTTGCTCTGGAACTCAAATAAATTAATACTTGAGCCTAGGTAAAATATTAATTATTATCTTATACCTTCCCAATTTATCATGACAGTGGCAATTTTCAATCAGCGTTAAAATTTTTGTAAAATCTTCGGTTCTCTCAATTATATTTATGCACAAAGTTAATTAAAATATCTGTAAAAATAAATAAAATAATGTATATGAAGCCTCCTTTCTTTTAGCTATTTTAATCAACTAAGCAACATGATAGTTATATTTCCGACAAAAATTTAAAAATCCAGATGACTTTCCGATGATAATATCGGACGGAAAGCTCTGCCATGTTTATAAAGTGTCATGGCTTTCTTCCTCTCACAACTCACGATAATACCCACCTCTGCCCATCTGAAGGCAAATGATGAGCTACCTCACATGCTCCACAGTGTATAGTTGATCTAACTAGGCATGCTGTTGACTTGAGCTACTGGCATAACAATCGATAACATCAGTGGGCAGGGTTCACAACTGCAGTGACACCACAGGCTCAATCACAACGACATCACACCACCACAAATCGCATTAAAAATGCTGGGGGGGGGTGTAGCAATCCCGAGAGCCACTCAAGCACTTACATCACAAAGCAATTCGTATATTAGAAGCTGCCTCACAGATCTTTGTTGTGATAGAAGTACAGTATTTGACTGCCATGTAACAGACCTGCAACTGAAATCCAAGCTTGCTGATCATTGCCAAGAGCATCGGGAACTCGTACACCACACTTTTCATCAGTGCTAATAGATGAGATATGAGCAAACAACAACAGGCTGAGCAGCTCAAGTGAGCTTCACGTATCGGGATGGACACAAGCCTTTTATGTATATTTTATTTCTTACCAAGCTCAAAAGAGTCATGTTTCCTATCCTCAAATTAAAATAAGTGAATTTTTTTGTAGCGTGCATGTTTTGAAGTGATTGCTGTTTGGTTATTTCTGAAAATTATAAGTGATTTCTAAAAATTATAAAATATTTTAAATCAGTGGGTTTGCATGAAAAATATGCTGAAATTGCATTTATTGCCAAAAATTCTTTTATTGTTATGCAGTGATAAGTTCTGTAATTAAAAAACTTTCCATGTTTTTATATTGATAATTGTAGTTAAATTGAGATAATTTAAAATCATCTGAGATATTAAAAGCTTAAAATTTTAATATTTGTTCTCAGAATGATAACTGTAATGTTTTATCTTGTGTTTATTATTTCCTTTGGCATAATTAAATAAAATATTTTAAATTAATATCTTGTATTTATTAAGAAAGTTTCTTTCCTCTCTTAGGTAGCAAAATTACAAAAGCAAATAAGATCTAAACTACTAGTGTCATCTAGTTTGATTATTACACATCGTACTTGGCATTTCTTTGGATCTGAGAGACGAAAGTTATCTGTTACTCATGTACTGATTACAGGTGAAAAGATTATTTTAAATTTTGTGATGCTAATAATGATGAATTCTGTGTTTCTCTTTTATGATGTGCCTCTTAATTTCACTTTTGTTGATTCAGTGAAGGGATCTGAGCAAAGAAAATAAATGAAAGAGTATGTTTGAATACATCTAGTAAATATATATATATATTTGGTATTTCTGTATCAAGCAGCCAAAAAGCACAATTTAGCACCAATTATGTAGGACTATGTGTTTTAGAATTCTGCAATAATGTTTGCCAACCTTGCAATTTATGCTAGTGGTCGTCAGGATAATACGACCATACCATTTTTAAAAATATAGTTGTCTTTGCTTTGATAACAATAGTAGAATGCTGATTTAAATTAGTATTTTGGAAATTTTTCTTATTTCAGAATAATTTCTAATTTGAAAACATCTTTGAATCTATACAGTGTGTAGCTTCTAAGGTGTATCCTGTTTTTAGTGCCATTTTCAAGGAGACATAATTTGCATTAAAATTAAAGAAATGCTGTAATTTGCTTTCTTTGTTCTATCTTATAAAATAATAGTACAGTAAAAGTCCAGACATCCGCAGTGCTTGGGACTAGAAGTTGTGCGGATTTTAGGATTTGGGGGATTTCAGGACAGAAAAGATAAGTCATAATCTTCAGATTAAAAGTGCAAAATAAATAAGGCATATTAGATACATTTAATTAAATTATTAATACATTATTACAATAATATACATTTACATTAATTTATTATATGTGTTATTGATATATAATATATATATATATGCATTTATTATGTTATTCATTTATATTAGGGATTACAGGGATATTTAAAAGCATTAAGGGTATATACAGTAGACACATAAAAATAAGGGATATTAATAAAGTATAAAAATTTATTTATTTATTTATTTATTTTTTACGTTTCAATCATTTTTCTGGAGCAAGTTAGGGTGCTATAGAGTTTTTTTTTTTTTAATTATATAGAGTCATATTCTCTTGCTCTGTGACACAGCTCTGTTTTAAAAATTTTAGGTATTTTTGACTTTGTTCCAAACCCTGATTAACCCCTTAACTGCCGTGGAAAACGTACAAGATTCATTTCCCAATGTCATGGTTTTTCCACATGCACGTAGTTATGCGATGTATTAGGGGATAAATAAGTGCAAGTTTTACTTTCTAAAAACTGTTTACTTTCACAAAATAAAGAATAAAAGAAAAAAATGAATGCACAGAATTTAATGTTTTGAGTAAAAGTGTAATAAAAAGATGTAAGTATAATAAAAATGATGTTTTTATGATAAAAAAGATCCCTAAAATGGAGTTTCAATCAATTCATTTTTAGACCAGTAAAGTGTAATATCAGGTTTCAGTGTTATACCTTATGAAATCAGTATGCCTAAAAAAACATATATATTTCTTCTGAACTGGTTGAATCCCACGATTTTGGTCTTGATGTTTCGTTTGCAAGGTTGTGGTTCATATACTCGTCTACAAAATGGTTAGTTTCAGTAACAATATGAAGCACGAACAGTTCATCAAAAAATAATTCAAAAAAGATAAATGAGTTTGAAACATCCGTTATACCGTTCTTTATTCCTGGAACCTACTACAAAAAGTAAATGAAAACGGAGTACACAGAATAAAAAAAAATAGGTTTTACTCAAACAACACCAGCCAATACTGAAACAGTCATTACTTTCACCGCTTTAGATACACTCCAATTTCTCCCCATACTTCTCTGAAATAGTATCCTCCTTTGCTTACTTTGTCAAGGTCATTGTGGTGTTGCATTCGAAAGCTTTTTGAGTAATTTTACGGGTAGCAGCGCAAAGCAAATGATAGTATTTTGGAAGGGCATTGATATATGCCAGAGACAGTTAATGCATCGACTGAGCAAGGCATATATATACGCCCATGGCAGTTTAGGAGTTAAAAGATATTTTCTTACTCCTGTCAAATTCACTATCTGTTTCGGTGTCGGAATTGTCGTCCTGCTGTGGTAATGGATGTCTTCTAGTGAAGCCTCCTCATTTATTCTTTCTTTCGAATATAAAAGCAATTATCTTGCTTTAACCCTTGCTGCACTGACCCTAAAACCAGAAAATTCACTGTGATCACTCTCAGTTTCAATAAACAAAGAAGATGGCCAGGCATTTATTAATGTTGTTTAGAAAACAGAATTCTAGGATTTTGCTATCAAATAAATGCAGTCTTTGATGGTGAATTTTTTTTATAATCACAAAGTGAAATAGAATGGTCACTTACAAGAATTTTTTTCAGAAACTCTGATTTATTATTTACCTCGATACAGATTGGAGGGTAAAAAATTTTTACCATGATATCAATAATTTGGTATTTCCGGCTGTGGTGTTTCTCTTACGAGTCATTCTTATTATTCGATAATTATGACGTCATTATTTGGTAAGTATTTTTTCTTCAATATTTTGTTCGCTGTGTTGCGGATTCTGGAACCTATAAATTGAATGTTTGTATTTTGAGAGGCAACACGGATTTCAGGTCGGCAGATTTTCGGTATTTGACTGTATATCCATTACATTTGTTAAACCAATGTTGGCAGATATTTTTGCATGCTGTAAGTGAAGCTTTCCTTAAAATAAATGCTTATCTTTTTTTTTTTTTTTTTTTTTTTATTGGATTAGATATTTAGATGAAATCTTTTTAATTAGATGTTTTCTTTCAGTTTTTAAAATTAACTATGAAAATATTAAGAGTAGAAATTTTAAGCTATTGAGTGAAAAAAGTAGTTAAAATAGATCGAGATTAGTAGAAAAAAGAAGTTTTAAGGATTAATTGAAGCATCATAAATATGAAAAATTGAAGGGCAGAGTGTTTTCTTTATTGTGATGACATAGTCCCTTGATTAATTAGATTTTAATAATTTCAGTCTAGCAGATCTACAGTATAAAAGTGTGTTTTGGGTATGAGAAAAAGTAAAAGTTTGTGGTTAATTTTTCCGATAGATAGTGCCAATGGCAAATAACTCAGGAAACACAGGTCACAGAGGTGCTACTTAACACTCGTTGGAATGAGTGTTATTGTGAGTATAAACATTGAACGTGGTGCAGTGGGTTTAAAGTTGTGTGTGGTTGACAATAGAGAAAAATAAGGAAAATTTGTACTATATTTTGCAATGTTATTACGACAAAAGGGACACTGCTGCACAGGCTTATGAAAAACTTTATGCTGTGTATAGTGTAGATACCTTATCAAAATCTTGTGCACGGAAAGGGTTAACTCATTTTTGTTCTGGTAATTTTGGTGTGAAAGATGAGTCATGCTCTGGGCATCCATTCACTGAAAAAGCTGATGAAATCCTTGGAAAAGTCGAGCAAGATAACCACATCAGCAGTATCAACATTGATATGGAGCTGGGCACTGAGCACTGAGCACAGAGCTGTTTTGAACCATTTACACAAAGTTGCCACAAAAAGAACCTCAATGTTTGGGTTCTACGAGTTGAGCACGATAAACGTGCTAAACCAAATTAACATGCACTGCTGAAACACAATGTTCATGCACTGCTGAAACGCAATGAACTCCAGCCATTTCTGAAATATCTCATAACTGGGAATGAAAAATGGATCATCTATGACAATTGCAAACGTAAAAGATGGGGGAGCTGTCACAAACTGTTGTGAGGCTAGGCTTGATACCAAGGAATGTGCTGCTGTGTGTGGTTGAACTTGAAGGGAATCTTCTACCATGAGCTACTTGTCATGGTGGAGGTGGTCAGGCAATTAATTCTTGCCCCTGATTGTGAACAATAGAGAGATTATGCCAGGCAACTGAGAAGAAATGGCCCAAATTGAATAATAGGAAAGGTATTGTCCTCCATCATGACATTGCCCGACCACACACTCCTTGGATGACCGTCAAAAATTGTGAGAGCTTGGCTGGAAAGTTATGATGCATCCATGTTATAGTACAGACATAGCACCATCAGACTATCGCTTGTTTTGATCTGTGCAGAACTCTCTCAATAGTATAAGGCTGGTTTCAGAAGAGGTCTGTGAAAACTACTTGATTCAGTTTTTCAAACAGGAACCAGAGTTTTTCATTGATGACATCACCCGATGGTGAAACATTGTCAATAATAATGGAACGTATTTGTTTTAAATAAGTTCTGTTTCACACTATAAGAAAAACCAATTTTACTCCAAAAATGCCATGAACTTTTTCCCAGACCCAATATTTCTCTGTATGGTTACATAGAATTGTAGAAAAAAAGGGGCCATGGACTTTATTTCCTTAAATATTGATGGCAGACATGTATTCCAATTATGTCTCAAAATAAAGTAGAGAATTTTATGAAAATAATGTGTAAGGGAGTAAGAGGTTTCTTTGAACCAAATATTGTTTTAGAGCAAAAAATCGTAGTTTGTAGAATGTTAATTATGCAATTAGGTGGTTAAATACAGGAAGTGATATACTTTTTTATAGGTACATCCGTATTATCGCAACCACCTTATCAGAAGTAGCCAAGCTTTCAGAATGTGCCAAACTGGCAACTATTCCCATGATTATTCTTCAGGCAACCATGCACACAACGATCCATCAGTCAGACAATGTTGCCAATTTTGTCTGCATTCATCTTGTTATATTCCAAGTTCCAATGGCTTTTATAAACAAATTGTAATATCTTCCCCTTAAACTTAATTTTAAAACATGCTTGTGGAGTTTGCCAGCAGTGAAAGGAAATGCATTAAAATTTCAACAGGAATACACGATTTTGCTGCAAGATCTCTAGCTGTGAGAAGATGCATTTGGTAGATAGCTGGTGTTGTTGAGATTCTGAGATTTGCATGATGCCGAGTCTGCAGGTCTCTGATATTTTTTCAAGAGAAAACAGATTGCTGTGTAATTGGGGTTATAAGAAGAATACAATAAAATTCAAAGGGATCTGGTGAAGAGTAATTTAATTTTTAACGCATCATGTGATCCTTATTTAATAATTCAAATTTGTATTTTAAATTGCTAAAGTAAGTTT